CTAATTTTTTATTATTTGTTCTTTGTCTGAATGATTATTATCTATATATGTATATTTTAAAACGTATACAAATATGTATATAATTCTCTGGTATCCATAACACAGGGAATCCTAATTTGGGGTCGGACGGCCGTGCGTGGTTTGATGCTAGTAAAAAAATATACGTATTTGTAATGGGTCTTTTTTAACAAGATTTTATAGCTAGCTAGCTCGCTGTGTCTTTGGGTGTAAGGGAATATTTAAACGTAATTTTCAACGACTACACGACGCTCAATTAACTTGAAGTTTTGCACCCACGTCAGGGGTCGATAAAGATACAATAATTCTATAATTTCGCTCTCATGTCGTTGACCAGTATCAATTATAATAATAAAAAAATTGACCCTTTTTTGTCTTACACTACATTTTTTTTTGTCGTAAGGTTTTTTGTTTAGAGTTTATGAGTTGTGGTGAGTACCTAGGACCCGGTTACTGACAAGCTACAAGTAAAATGGTATTACCGTCGCCATAAGAAGTTCTTATTTTAATTGCCAAAATCAATTTCACTGTGTCTAATAGTATAATAATATACAGATATAGTGAGAAAAGATTTTCCTTTGTAATTTTTCGGAAAAGTTCGTATTTATCGTGCTCTCTCAAATAGCTTCAGTACCCATCTTAGAGCCATAGGGGTAGTCGCATCACCAGACCAATAAATATATATAGAGTAGATAATACGCAATTCAAATATTCACTAAAGTTTTAATCATATTTTCAGATCACAAAAAGGTTGTGTAGCCATTTGACACTAAACAATTAAGTTCCATATTAATTGGATATGAAAATGTCACTCATTTAATACGATTCGGGTGTCATCGTATCCCGATAAAGATCCGAGTTTTCCCGAAGGAAAGTAATTTCTCACTACATCTATATTATAAAGATTTATAGTACAGTTGTTCCCATGTCAATAGTTACAGTGGTTACAAAAAAGGTGTTACTTCATTTCTATTATAATTTTTTGACACTTAAGTGTCAACATCGATGCCACACCTTAATGGCGTGGACAACGTAATGAAATTCTAATTAACAGAAAATAGGCATAGTTAAATAGGAAGGTAAGCAGGATTTAGAGTTATAGTCATTCTTAATTTAACGATAGTTGAATTAGATTGAAGATCGTCTCGGCCTAAGTGGAACAGCGCCTTAAATCTCTTTAGATATAACAGGAAATGTATGAATGCCCTATTAATTGAGGCCGTCAGCGCAAAAGTGGCCTAAACTTACCATAGTTAGTATGGAGATAATGAGGTTCGAATTTATTTATTTATTACACTTCCTGTAAAATTTACATTGGCGGTCTTAATGCCTAAGGCATTCTCTACCAGTCAACCAAAGGTAGTGTAGAGTAAATAGTGGTAGGTGCATTGAAATTTATATTAAGTTACAAATACATACACAAAAAAACACCTTTACAATACTTCGTAGGCAAAAAATACGCGCTACAATGATGTTTACAAAGGCTATGGATGAAACTAGGGATAGGCTGATTTTGCATCAAAATTTATTATGTTTTAAATAAATTGCAATACATAAAAACAAATATGAATTGTGGGTTAGGCCACTTTTGCGCTGACGGCCTCAATTCTGTATTTCGGGAACGCGCAATGGACGCGTACAAATGCGTGAACTTTAAGTGAACTCAAATTCCTAGCTGCTCTAATCGTTCGTACCTAATAGTCTACACTATAGGCACGCCATGATAGCCGTTTAGACATTTTACAATAGTGATGTGAAATGTTAATTTATTCTCGAATAAAATTTAATGAAATCTATAAGTTTTTATTGCAAGTAGTACCTGATTAAAAAGGTTTAATAAAACAAAAAAATATAAATGCTTACTAAATATATTAGAACGATCTGAATATTGGAATGAAAATGAAATATACATACTTTACTTTTTTTTGTAAAGGCTTATTCAAACTACGAGCGGACTCGTATGTGAGCTCATGGGGCTCAACCTGAGTGACTCAGGCCTAGAATAAAATTCTCACTTTGAAGTATAAGAAAATTTTTAGTGTTTGAAAACACGTCTCTTCACTTGTGACCTTGTGAATGTCAACAGAAACTTTTTGCAGAACTTTTCTTTGTTTGAAAGTTGTTTAAATAAATGATTTACATAACAAACAACGAACAAAGGAAGTGAGTTTTACTTTCTGATTGTTTGTTCCGCTCGTCAAAGAAAATAAAACAAAGTATGTATAATGTGTACCACATAGTACATATTTTGAATTCGTTCCAATTTCGAACGCACAGTCGTTTTTTTTCTGCAGCAAGCCAGTAACCGATTAATTCCTCAATATGTTTTTTTGAATTAAGAACTCGATTATTACTTTTCGATTGTGTGTGTTTGATTATTCTGGGTACAAACTAATAATTAAAATAATATTTTCACCATTACGATGATACAATTAAATTTTTTTATACACATGTAATTAGCAGCTCTGTTAGTGTTGTGTCATCAGCGTCATTAGCATCGGAACTTTGTATTTAAGATTCAACTTTCTTATATTTCATTTATCTGAATTTAATTCTGAAACGAACTATATTGGAATGCCGTGGTCAACATTGAGACAACAAAGTTTTTTAATTGATTTTGAACATAAGATTTTGGTAGAAAATAAGTTTGGTGGTACAATCCGTGTGTGCAGCATAGCGCATTAAACCACCAGTTCTAAATGATTACAAGGATTTTTGTGTCGTCGTTACGCCACTAGTGATTCGATTTGTGTAAAATGGAATTTAATTTTTTCTTCTTCTATTATAATTTCTTTTTTCTTTGTTTTTCCTCGACTGTCATTTTTAATTGTTATCACATTCTAATACTTCACAGTTTTCGTGGAAAAAAAAAACGTGAAAACAAAAAACACGAAATTAATCATAATTATTTTAAGTAAAGTTTTAATTATATAAGTAATTTGTTTAAATATATCATATTATATTTTTTACTGGTGGTAGGACCTTTTGTGAGTCCGCACGGGTAGGTACCACCGCCCTGTCTATTTCTGCCGTGAAGCAGTGACGCGTTTCGGTTTGAAGAGTGGGGCAGCCGTTGTAACTATACTGAGACCTTAGAACTTATATCTTAAGGTGTGTGGCGCATTTACGTTGTAGATGTCTGTGGGTTCCAGTAACCACTTAACACCAGGTGGGCTGTGAGCTCGTCTACACAACTAGGCAATAAATAAAAAATAAAAAATTTATAAAAATATAATAGTTTAGTAAATTATTTAGTAAGGGAAGTTTAAATACACAGTTGGAGTTTTAATTTAGATCGAATGAAATAATTAACTTAAGCTATTACGGTACTTTCTTATTTATCTACATTTCTCATTTTTATTATAAACTAAAAAAATATATTTAAATGTGATTATGTTCGTTTATAATGAGTTGTTGCTTAAAAATCTTTTCCCTTTAACGAGTAAAAAAGAAAGTGAGCCAAGCGACTAACATGTCAGTGCGAGTCACTAAATGATACGCTTCAGGCGAAATTGACGCGTCTCATCCAAACGTATAAAGGTCATTTATGCCTGAAGATTAATGTCTTATTGAAATTTCAAAAAACTTTCAAAATAGTCTTCGAAAAACAAAATATTGAATTTTATAAATACATTCGAATCTAAATATATGATTGGGTAAAGACAAGACAGTTTCATAACGTTTTTCTATGGCATTAAAATTTGTCAATATATTTTTTTAGTTCACGCAATCGTTGAGTTTTAAAAAAAAAGAAGTTTTTGTAAACACTTTTAATTTTTTAAATTAGCATTATAAAATTCCAAATAAAAAATACCAAATTTGTAAAGGCACTATTTAAATGATTCAGTTCTTTAGCTGTCAATGTTTACGGTCGAATTTCGAATACACGACGAACGTAAATTTTCATAATCGATTGCGTAAATCGGATTAGTTTATAATTAAAAGTGTAGAAAGTATTTAGACCTTGAATATTTATGAAACGACTAAATATTGGTGAAGGTCATCAAATACGGAATACATTACAACTCGAAGATTTTTGGGCGTATTTCGTAATTTGAGTTTTTTTTTTATTGCCCTTGTAGGCAGACGAGCATACGGCCCACCTGATGATGACTGGTTACCGTCGCCCATGGCCTTCAGCAATGCCAGGGACAGAGCCAGATAATATGGATGAACTCTGCTCCGATGATGGGAGGTGCGATGATAAAAAGGAGATGAAAGGATCATCTCAAACAATCCCTCAGAGCACTCCCCATGGCACATACGATACAAAATACAGACAGAACCGAAGTCCCTCCGCAGACCCAGAGGTTCCAAACGATGGTCCCCCAAGTCCTTCTTCAGACGAGGCTTGCGAACAATGCTCAGTGGTAGGCAGCGATTTGGCCGTGCCCTGCGATTGCTAATGTCCATGGGCGACGGTAACCACTCACCAGCCGTATGCTTCTCTGCCTACAGGCCACAAAAAACAATCATCATTTCAATTTCCGACAATTTGTGCTTAATTAGCATAGCAAAGATTTTCTGACATTAATCTGTGTCATTTAGTTTTGTTTTCTTTGAGAGGACTTTTTGGCGGGAGCGCGAGGAATGAAGCCATGTGATTTGTTTTATTTTATCTATTTAGTGTTTCTTCAGGTTTAAATGTGTAATAACGGTGGTTTATTAACTGTTTAGTGTCTGTTTAGTGTCTTAGTGAAAGTACACAAATGTGGGAAAATGAAACAAATCCGCTGGACGTAACTTCTTGGGATCCTACAAAAAGTCCACTGAAAAAGTCTCAGTAAATGACCACCATTTTACTCAGATTATATTTCATCCCATATTATGATTTTTCATAAAAATAAGAAATAAATTAAAATAATACTTGACTTAAAGGTCTTAGTTACCAGGTCATAAAATCCCTTAAAAAAATTTCTTTTGAGAAATCGAAGAAAACAAAAGCAAGCTACAGTTTTTTTTTTCAAAATACCACTACATACCTGATACTCTCTCGGCCAGCATCCAATATTTGTTGATTATTGTTGTCCAATTACTGTCCGAATAGTAATCGTCAATGGCTATTTTCACGAATCCCGACATTTTGAGTTCTTTTATCACAGCACTTTAGTTCTTGAACACTAGCACTCATTCACTTAAGTCTAGATTTAGGTCCAACCCAGCGTCCTATACAAATAATTGTACAAACAGGTAAGACTTCCGTAGAATTTAGAAGACCAATTTTCTAGAACATCACAATATTTTAACGTATTTCTTGAATCACTGATATGCTTTTTTGGAATTATGTTTTTGAATCACTTCTTTAAATCCGTTTCCCGGTAACAATTTGCTACGGGCAAGCTGTCACCTGAAAGAAAGAAAAAAACAAATAAAATTAATACATACATTATCGGATGGGGAAAGTCAGATTATCTAGGAGGCGAGAAATTTTGTCGCAATGCACTTTATTACACGTACTACTTTCGAAGTTAGCAGAAAATGTTTTGTTCGTGTGTATTTTTGTTGACACACAAAACTGTGTTCTATTGTTCACGATTATAAGTCTAAATTAATTTTTAAAAGCGCTGTCTTTATTTTATTAGTAATTTGTACGCTTCGTTAAAATAATGTTTTGTGTGTTTACGACGAATTATAAAAAAAATATCGATAATAGATACCTATTATTTCTCGACGAATAATAAAACATTTTAAACAGCGTACCGCGACTAATTAAAAATACGACATTCGTCTTTCATTTCGTGAAAATGAAAGTGAAATAACGCGTAAGTTCGCGGGAGTGCGAACTCGTCGAGTGCCGCACTAAAATTGAATTGCCCGCGCTAACTCTGCCAATCGGCTCGCTTCAGACTCCCACGCATCGACAAGGACGTATGAGCCATGTATTACGTCAGACGAATTGTGTTTTACGCTGGGTGTGTTTGCGTTGGTTTTCCTGTGAGGCCCGTCCCGATTTCACGCTACTAATTCAGTAGTTTCGAATTTTTGCTACGCGATGGCGGTAGTTGATCGTTTGGAGGCTTTGTTAAATTTGCTTCCAACGTTCGAATTCTTTAAAATATTTTAAATAAATGACATTCAATGTTGTTTTTTTTACTCATCTCAATAGACGACCTACAAATTTTATTTGAAAAAAGAAATCGGTAGATCGCAGTAATGCAATACCTCGAACTTGACCGAATTATTACAGAAACATGAAAAATGTTTAAAATATTTTGCTAATTTGATCCGAGCGCGCGGTTTGTCAAGGGTTGTGCAACTCACTCCGATCTTGAAAGGTGGTCCGGCTCTACGAGAGATTGCCATTTCGCAACGTATCTCAAGACCTCTGGACGGCCTTCGGACAGCTGTAATGTTTACCGGCGTTACAATTTGTGGACTATTGTGATTAGGAACTGCACGATACCGGAGTGGCCGTGAAAAATGTGGACATGTGATATTTACGTAATTTATTTATAAAAATAAATGAATATTTGTGACAATTCAAAAGCTGACATTGATATCGGATAAACCTTCAATACCTTTTACAGTTGTACGTTCAATTAGTGAAATAATTTATAGTATTTACATTGTAGGCGTGTTGATCGCTTTAAAATCAGGTGGGTCGTGAGCTCATCTACCTACTGAGAGAGAAAATGATTACCGTTTCAGTCATCATGTATGACAATGAAAAAATCGTAAAACTGTTTAATTTCTTGTAATATAAAACTCATTTTAGATCGTATTTTATTTAAATAAATAAAAAATGTTCAAATAAAATGTTTCTTTTTTAATAATTCGAATCGAAGTCTTGACACACAATATCTTTCATTAAAATATTTACGTGTGTACCGTTTGATGTTCCAAATATGAGCGATAGATGGCGTTGTCTCATTTTTATTTTTGTAGGTTGATCTGAATCTCATATACTTTGTTGTTTAATGGGTTGTAAATATAACCAGTGACTCGAATGCCTTTTAATTTTCACCAGAACCGGCTCAGCCTGCTGTGGGTTTTTTCTTCTACGGGTTTCGCAAGTCGTAGACAAAATTGCACTAAAGACTGTAATGCAATTTTTTTGGGAATAAGGAATTGAAAGTAATACAGGTTTTTTATTTCCTTTTATTGCTGTGACAAGTGGACGAGCTCACGGCCAACTGGCTGTTAAGTGGTTACCGGAGCCCATAGACATCTACAACGTAAATGCCGCCAAGCCGATACACATTACTGCTTCACGGCAGAAATAGGCCGGGTGGTGGTACCTACCCGTGCGGACTCACAAGAGGTCCTACCACCAGTCATTACGCAAATTATTACATTGCGGGTTTGAGTTTAATTACACGATGTTATTCCTTCACCGTGGAAGTCGATCGTGAATATATCGTTAAGTACGTATTTCATGAGAAAAATTGATACTTGCCAGCGGGATTCGAACACCGTTGCATCGCTCGACACGTATGCACCGGACGACTTATCCTTTAGGCCACGACGACTTTTAAGCTTATGCCGCGAAGCAGTTATGATTTTCCGTAGACGTCATGTCTCGGGGTGACTTGCACCGGGTGGACCCGAAGTTCGTTAACCCGACGAAATAAATAAATTAATAAACATAAATATGAATAATTGAATACATAGTTGTTCGCCCATTAAATGTAATTGTAGAATATAATTTTAAGTGGCTCTTGTGAATATACTAACAAATAAAATTGATTGATGGATCGAAATAAAATTTTATTGTATTTTATTACATTTGGAAGATTGTTTCTCGTTTGTGTTGAGGTGAAATGGATTTTGCTGTTTAGGCTTAGGATATCTTTTCCTTTAATGCTATAATACACTATTGTTAATCTATTTATACAGTTTGAAGACTTTTTTTAGAGATGGCGTGCGCGATAACTTAGTTACTTAGTTAGGTTGGATACGACCCCTTAAGTGTTCTTAACTTCCTTGCATTGGATCCGACCCTCTAAATGACCTCCCCTCATTTCCGCCCAAGCTACTGATCCTCGCCCGTGACAGAACCTGACAGTGGCGTTACCGTGAACACTTAGTTTGACCTGGAGAGTCTAGGTTATTATTTGGTATTTTGTTTTCAAATTTCGCAGCTATCTACAATACAAACATTATTGCTTAAGGCTCGTTATTGGCTTTTACCATTGGCACTCGACGATGCGCCCCGACAAACGGTAATGACCACGGAATAGATCTATTCCGTGGTAATGACCAATAGTTCAGGAGACAGCGAGAACGTGTTTATTTTTTATTTAAACTAAAAATCCTGGTAATTTTGTTGGTTATTTTTTACTTTTTATTTTTGTAATGTTTATTGCATTGATGGGTGGACGAGCTCACAGCCCACTTGGTGTTAAGTGGTTACCGGAGCCCATAGATATCTATAACGTAAATGCCACCACCCTCCTTGAGATATGAATTCTAGGGCCTCAGTATAGTTACAACGGCTACTCCACCCTTCAAACCGAAACGCATTACTGCTTCACGGAAGAAATAGGCAGAGTGGTGGTACTTACCCCTGCGGACTCACAAGACGTCCTACCACCACTTTTTGACCATATAGTAAGTAATTTATGAATTCAAATTACTTTTACGGTTTTATCTCGCTTTCAATATTTACATTCCGTTATCATTTCCTCATTATGAAATGAAAAAATGAAAACGTTTTTACCGTAAAAATAATTTTAATTGAAAAAAAATTTTTTTTTTTCGCTTACTTTTTACGTAAACAAATAATTTAAGATTCTTCTAAACATTTTAATAGAGAATATTATGTTTATTGCGACGTCTCGCTGTCGGTTTCGTGTTATGAGAAAAAAAACCAGCGTTAGACTGAACGACCTTCGCACAGTTTGGACCAGTTCGGGGGTCCGTGACCGTCCACATTGTTAAATATGTGCATTTCACAAGAACATTGAGAAAGTCAACCTTGAATTCCGTTAGTAGAGATTCTCGCGCTGGATTTGATGATATTTCGATTATTGTTATTATAATTCTGGCAGAAACGGGGCCATAGATTCATCATCATCTTAGGTCTTACAGCCCAGGGTGAGCCTTAGCCTGGTCCAGTATGTCTCTCCAGACTGCTCTGTTCAAGGATTTCTCCTTCCAGTTCCTGACACCGATAGCTTTAAGGTCGCGCTCCACGTCACCTAACCATTGGAGTTTGGGTCTGCCATGACTTCTGCGGCCCTCTGGTTTGTCATAGAGCAGTTGTCTTGGGGCCATAGATTGGACCGGTGATAAAGCAGTTGAGATTATTCCTGTCGCGAGCAATCATGTGTTCGTATCGGACTTATTGCATTACGCTGGCTAAAAAGGCATCAGCTAAGCTGGTTTAGCTACTGGAACCCATAGACATAAAATTAAAAAATAAAATCGAATCCTCAATTTGTATTATTCAATATTGTTCACTACGGAGACGGGTTTTTATGGTATTTACGTTATATTGTCTATCTATGATATCTGATATTCACTTAACATCAAGTGGACCGTGAATGCTGCAATCCGTTTACAAACAATTGCAAAATAAATGGTTTGTTAACCTTTTATATTTAGTAGTTCATTCTAGTACTAAATATCAAACTTTGGGTTTACGACAGTATGGTAGATTTTATTTTATTTTTTGTTTTATTTATAACTTCTTATACTAGAAAGTATAAAGGCAGATTTAATGCCATAGGAATTCTCTAACAGTCTACCTTAGGAGAGTGCAGAGATGAAGCTTGGTAGGTGTAGTGTGAAGGGGATATTACTTAAACATATATTATGTGTATATATAACATACATAATACATAATATATTTGCCATTATTCTGGCATATACAATAATACTGTTATCTTGGTAGCCATTCCGCGACTATTTCGTTAATCATACCACCGTCCCCGAAATTTTACGTAAGATTTCTCAACACTTAAGCGCGTAATTTGGTCATTGTCATATGATCATTATTTCTACCCCCATGTTTGTAATCTGCCTTTAATTAGTCGATGACAAGAGAAGTCCATTTAGTGTTGAGCAACTAATGAAGCCCAGAGCATGAACGCTGTATGTGTTCTTCGATCGAAATCTTAATAATACTTTGAAGAAAACGACTAAGGGAAAATCTTCCACGGAATGGATTTGAATTGCTTAGTAGAATGCTATTGTTTTGAATTTGTAAGCATGCGAACTTATCTAGAAAATGTCATTAGCGCTATTCAGGCATCTGTCAAGTATCTCTTCTATTCTATAATGTCTACTGCTTTTTTTTTATTGCCCTTGTAGGCAGACGAGCGTAAGGCCCACCTGATGGTGAGTGGTTACCGTCGCCCATGGATTTCAGCAATGCCAGGGGTAGAGCCAAGCCGCTGCCTACAG